CTGGAGCACGTCCAGAGAAGGGCCACAAAAATGACCCATGGAATGGACCACCTATGAGGAGAGGCTAAGAGAAACAAAATAGTAGAAAGGATTATTCATCCGTTTTGAATCGTATGCGATCTGATCACAATTAAGCACATAATGATGCTATGTTAGCCTGACAGAGATGCAGGATGGAATCTCTGAAGCTCTGAAGCCTCAGTGGTGACTGAACTGATCTACAATGGGAAGCACAACACTCCTAATTCAAACTAACAGTAGGCACACCCAATGAGAAAGGACTGGTTGCTTCCAGAGTGCCAGTCTTGAAATGGCACACAACACTTAGCAGTCTCACCAAATTCTGCCTGTCCTTGGTGAAGACTCATCTCACTGGCATTTTTTATATATATTTAAGCTAATCTTGAAGTGAACATTCTCCAGCTCGGAGTGGCAAACTTCTAAGTCATGCTTATTGTGGCGTTCAACATCCTAACTTATCTACTGGAATGATGAAAGTGACCTATGAGCAAATGCCTGAGCACAGGGATAAGCGGAATCATAGAATCATAGAATCACAATGACCTGTAAGATCAGCCAGTCCAATCGTCTCCTCATTACCACTGCTACCACTAGGTAATAAACCAGGTCTTACAGCTCCTCATCCAGATGCCTCTTGAACACTGCCAGGGACAGTGACTGCACCACCTCCCTGGGCAGCCATTCCAGTGCCTGACCACCCTCTGAGAGAAAAAGTTTTCCTCATGTCTGACCTAAACCTCCTCTGGTACAACTTGCAGCCATTTCCTCAGGTTCTGTTTGTTGTCTGGGAGAAGAGGCCAAACCCCCCTTCACCACAACCTCCCTTCAGTAAGTGGTAGAGTGCAATGAGGTCTCTCCTGAGCCTCCTCTTCTCCAGACTAAACAATCCAAGCTCCCTCAGCCGCTCCTCATAAGACTTGTGCTCCAGACCCTTCACCAGTTTCGTTGCCCTTCTCTGGACATGCTCCAGGACCTCAACATCTTTCCTGTAGTGAGGGGCCCAAAACTGAACACAGTACTCGAGGTGCGGCCTCACCAGTGCTGAGTGGAGGGGGATGATCACCTCTCTGCTCCTGCTGGCCACACTATTTCTAATGCAGGCCAGGATGCCGTTGGCCCTCTTGGCCACCTGGGCACAGTGCTGGCTCATGTTCAGCTGAGCATCAGCCAACACCCCCAGGTCCCCTTCCTCTTCACACTCATCCAGCCACTCATCCCCATGCCTATGACACTACATGGGATTGTTGCTGCTTGGCAGTCACCTCCGCCAGCTCCCTCAGCTCCCTCAGGTGTAACCCATCCAGTCCCATGGATTTGTGACAGTCCAGATGGAGGAGGAGCCCTCTGACTGTCTCCACCTGAATCGCTGGGGGTATATTCTGAATAGCATCCCAGACTTCCAGATCAGGGTGTAAAATGCCCAGAGGATAACTGATCTGGCTACTAAAGGCAGATGTAAAGATGGCATTGAGGACTTCAGCCTTCTCCTTGTTCTCAGTGGCCACATTCCCTGCTGCATCAAGTATAGGATGAAAATTATCTTCTTTTGCCGTTGATATATTTATAAAAGGATTTTTTATTGTCTTTTATGGCAGTGGCCAATCTGAGTTCAAGTTGGGCTTTTGCCTTCCTAACTTCCTCCCTGCATACCTTAGCTACTTCTTGTAATCTCCCCAAGCAGCCTGTCCCTTCTTCCAGAGGACATAGATTCTCTTTTACTTCCTGAGTCTCAGCAGTAGTTCCTGGCTCATCCACACCGGTCGTCTTCCACTGTGGCTCGCCTTACAGCACTCAGGGACAGCCTGTTCTTGTGCCTGTAAGATTTCCATCTTGAGGAGCGTCCAAGCTTCCTGGACCCCTTTACCCTTGAGAAGTGACTCCCAAGGGACCCGTGCTACGAGCGCGCTGAACAGATCAAAGTCTGCCCTCTGGAAGTTCAAGAAAGTCGTTTTGCTGCTCACTCTTCTGACATCCCCAAGAATGGAGAATTCTACAATTCCATGGTCGCTCGGCCCAAGATGGCCCCCAACCTTCACTTCTCTCACCAGTCCTTCTCTGTTAGTGACGACCAGGTCTAGCAGGGCACCACCCCTGGTAGGCTCTCCTACCAGTTGCATAAGGAAGCTATCTTCCACGCAGTCTAGAAACCTCCTGGACCGCTTCCTCTGTGCTGTATTATATTTCCAACATATATCAGGGAAGTTGAAGTCTCCCATGAGAACAAGTGCTGCGTGACTTCTGCGAGCTGCTCATAGAATGCTTCGTCCAACTCTTCATCCTGATTAGGCGGTCTATAACAGACCCTCACCAAGATGTCGCCCCTACAGGCCTTCCCCCTGATCCTTACCCGTAGACACTCAACTCTCATTCCCAACCCCAAGCTTTTCAACATCAAAACAGTCTTTAATATAAAGGGTCACACCACCGCCCTTCTTTCCTTGTCTATCCCTTCTGAAGAGCTTGTAGCCATCTATCACAGCACTCCAGTCATGGGAGTGGTCCCACCATGTTTCAGTAATAGCAACAAGGTCATAATTAGCCTGACTCTCAATCACTTCCAACTCTTCCTGCTTGTTGCTCCTGCTGCACGCATTGGTATAGATGCACTTCAGTTGAGTCATCTGCCTCACCCCCATCTTAAGCATTGTTCCCCTAGGCTCATCTCTTGTGAGGCCTGTTTTGTCTCCTTCCCCCTCTGTAGCTAGTTTAAAGCTCTTTCAATAAGCCCCGCTAGCTCCTGTGCTAGGATTTGTTGCCCCCTTTGAGATAGGTGGGTTGCACGGACAGACGATAGACCAGGGGCTGACTAAACTGTCCCATGATCAAAGAACCCAAAGTTTCTGGCTTGACACCAGCCTGTGAGCCAATTATTCATTGCTTGTGCTTTCCGATCCCGTTCAGTGTTCCTTACTGGCCCTGAAGGTATAGAGCTGGAGATCACTTGAGCTGCCGCTCCTTGAACAAAACACCCTAAACACCTGGAATGATTGGAGATGGAATTTTAGAATCGTTGAATCCTCTTGGTTGTCAATAGGGACAGCAATGTAACAAGTGCAAGTCTGATAGCGATAGCATCCCTAGAATCGCAGCACGGTCAGGTTGGAAGGGAGCTCACAGCCCCCCAGCCCAGCCCTGCCATAAGTTGGTTGCGCACCCCTCAGCTCAGGCCACCTAGGGCCCATGCACGGCCTGCAGCACCTGCAGGGATGGGCACACACACTTCTGAGAAGCTTTATTAACCAACGATAAATAGTGTCTAAATATAGCGTTTGCTGCACTCCGGTTCATCTCGGCTATAAACATCGGCAGTTTGACACTAGGAGATCTCCTGTAAAGCCCCGGGAGCCAGTCCACGAGAAACCAGTTTTCACAGGAAAGCAGCTGCCAGGTCTACCGCACGATTCTGCCGGCTGTGCAGCCCCAGGCCGCCGTGTTCGAGCAGCCGGCCAGCAGGCCATCCTTCCGCTTTCAGCGACGCGGGCCGAAGAAAGCGAATCGCCCGCGCCGCCTTACGTCACAACGGCGCGCCGGAAGTGGCGTCACCGCCCCGCCCCGCGGAGACACCGCGTCGTGCAGGATGTGCGCGCGCGCGCAGGGCGGTGCCGCCGTTGCTAGGCGGAAGTGCGGCCGTGCTGAAGGCTACGTGAGGCTGCCGGGCAGTGCTGGTGGCGCTTCCGGTCCGCGCCGGCGTTGTGGTCGCGCCCGCCGGGCGGAGCGGGGCGATGGTGTCCAGGGCTGCCGACCGGCTGCTGATCGTCGTCTCCGTTCTGGAAGGTAAGCGGGGGCGGATTCTAAACACGAGCCGTAGCCTTGAAGTCACACGGCCAGTGGGGAGTCGTGGACAGAGCGTGTTCCGGGGGAATGTTGTGGGTGGACCGCGGCGGCTTCTTTATGCTTCGCTGCACGGACAGGCGATCTGTAGGAAGCGGAGCCAGCTCTGGTGCTGGCTTTCGTACAGAAAAGGCGCAGCGAGGTTTCGTTCTTTATGGCTTAGACGCCGTGGACGTCCATCCTTACACGTATCTCTACTTGCCGTAGCTGATGTTTAAACCCCTTATTGCTGCTTTTCCCCGTGACCGTTTGTTGCTGCCCGGTTGAGTTGAGCCGTCACCCCTGTAAAGGTGACCGTGTCTCTGCCTTTTCCAGCTGTGGGAAACAAAACCTCCTGCTGACTTCTCCTGGCCTCTCTCTCCTGGCCTCTGACTTCTGCTGGGCCCAAGACATTCGAGAAATGATGAGCAGAGGAACGTTTTCTCGCTGGGCTCTTCCCATTTATGTTTTGTTTTTGTTGTTGCAGTCTGCTGTTTTACAAGCCCAGTTACCAAATCCGCCTTTATGCTGTGTGCTGGTTAATCGCAGGTCATCTGAGATTTGTGCTGGATAGGCTTGCTGAGGTGTATGAATAGTCTGTGCAAGTTGTCGGTGCTGTTGGGGCGTGTGTCTGAATGCTTTCCGTTTGTCAAGCACTGTGTTATTTCTCTGGCTGCTTATGTTGCTTGCTGATAACTGAAATGCATGGAGCCTCTCTCTGTTTTGTGATGCCTGTAAACTTTAAGCATTCATTTTGTCAAAAAAACTATGAATTAAAATGTAGAAGGATGCTGAATCCAAGACAAATCCTATGCAGCTCTCTACATTCTCTTAGTAGTGAATTCTATAAAGCACAGCACATGCTTGGATAAACTTTTTAGTAATTCATGAGATCATGCTTGCTCTTTTAATGCAGGAGAGTAGTAAAATTTGCAGTGAAGGAAGAATGCTTTATCTTTGCTGTTTGCCACCTATTGCCTTGACTTTTCCCTTTCTTAGATTTCTCAATGTTAAATCATACCAAGTACTTGGTTTCTATCATAGTTCTTAGCTGTTACCTGGTATCTTGCTGTTTCTGGGTGCTTCTCAAATGCTTTGTTCTTCGCTGTGTCCTTTATTACTTCTAAGTAGTGAGAAGACATTTCAAAGTAAGAAAACTACAATTGCAGAGAAAGTTTGAGGAAGATGGATGAATACATCTCCGTGTAATTGGTTTGCAATAAGGATCAGAGCTCCCTTGTTCCATTGGTGGTGTCTGATGATTGCACTGTGTTTCAGGACGCTGTTTTCCAAAACGACCCAAACACATGCTTATAGTTGAAGCGAAATTTGATGGAGAACAGCTGGCTACTGATCCCGTGGAGCATACTGATCAGCCGGAATTTGCCACTGAATTGGCCTGGGAACTCGATCGAAAAGCACTTCATCAGCACAGGTAACAGCAGAAAGTTTAGCCTGAGATAAAACTTAATTTTCTTGTGCTTACAGCTGCTGAAACACAGTGTTTAATCTAAACTACTTATAAATAGGAGCTTTCTTTTATCTGTGAAATGATCTACTGTTTTGTTTTCACAACAGAGAAAAGTATTATGTGGAGATATAGGTGACTAGAAGTTTCTAAAGTTTCTGTAGGAACTACTTAAAAAAAAAAAAAAAATTGGAAAAGTACTGGATTCTTGCTTTCTTACATAAACCCTGACAAAGAATTAACTTAAAGCCTGAGAATCCTGCTAGAAGAACTGATACATTGGTTTTGGTTTCCAGAACAGTCATCATTTTTAATTGAAAATATGGATATACTGTTAGAATCTGTCAGAGAAATGAGAAGGCTGCTTGAACTTGGAGGAGGGAAAGATGTCTAAATGCACCTCATGCTGGACACCACACCTATGCCTCTAAGAACATGCAGGTGCTTGTAACAATCTTTTGCTCCCAAGTGAAGATGCAGTTCAGTTGCATTACTTGTTTCATGAACATGGAAAAGACTGAATTTAATATCTTTTGAGGGTCTTTCAGAGTCCAGTAAGCTTCTCTTACCAGATTTATCTATTTATTCGTTATCTGTCGCTTAATCCCAAATTTTTAGAATTGGGTGTAAGCTGAATTGCTAACTTATTAGAACTAGCTATGTTAGAATCTCAATAAATTGTTGTTGATATGTTTGAAACATGTGAATCGTTTGTTATGACCTAATTGCACAGGTTAATTTTTACGTTTTGGATTTCAACTGAGATGTTCTTACAGGCTGCAGCGCACACCTATCAAACTCCAGTGTTTTGCTTTGGATCCTCTGTCTTCAGCTAAAGAGAACATAGGCTATGTTGTGCTTGATTTAAGGGCTGTGCAGGAAAAGAAACAGGTATGTTTCTAAGTGTAAAGTCTTACATTTTGATGTTTATAAAACAATGCTCTGGCAGTAGAATTTGAATTAAGGCAGAATTTGAATCTTTGAGTTGTTCAGGAGGAGAATGCTTCATCACATACTTGCCTTTTTTTTTTTTTTTTTGAAGAGAACAAATGAAAATAGTTTTGTGTCAGTGTTACTGGAATGAAAAATATTTACACAGCCTGCTCTGGAACATGAAAAAGCCAAGTATGCAGATTAAAAAAGAATTCTTACACTTTAGAATTGGAGGGTTGAAATATTTCTAATCACCCTGTTTAATCGCTGCTATGACTTACCAGCTGGAGAAAAGAAGAAAACAAGGTCCTTTACTGAGCAACTAAATGTAGTTAAGTCAAACCTTTAGAGAGTGAAGCTGTTTGTGATGTGTTCTTTTTATTTATTTATTTTTTTTTCATTCAGAGGATGTCTGAGGGGTTCTGAAGTTCTGGCCCATTAACAAAGCAGGAGAAATCATGATTGTTTACATAGAATTTTGATGAGTGAATTTTATGTTGTGCTTGATCAGGATGTAGCTGTGGCATGGGTCACGACATGATGTTGCTTTAGCGTTTTGACACCCCACTTAAAATTTATAATCCATGTAATACAGTCTGCACTCTTTTAGTTGAAAATTTAAACATTCTCTCTTCTAATTAGATGACTCATTTTATATTTTGCTCCCCCACAGTTTACTTTGTAAATCAATGGAAGAGAGTATGTTCAGCTCTTCTTCCAGGAATGATGATATAGAGTTATTGAGTGTAGCAGTGCAGAATAGACCATGTTTTTGCAAATGAACGCTAGGGTGATTTTCTGTGAATAATAAAATAGAATTGCTAGAGCAAATCTGTTGTCTATTACCGTATTTTATGATTTTGCTACTTTGAAAATGTTTTTTCCTTTTCTGATTTTGTAGACACCAAGATGGTATTCTTTGCTAAGTAACAAGTATGCTAAATTTAAATCCGAAATAAAAGTAGGCATTATGTTGGAAACTGATTCCAAAGCACCAGTTGGTGATTTAAAAGCAAAGGAGGCAGCCCCTAGAGAAGGGAGGGGTAAGTAATACAATACCGTTGGCTTTGAATTACAGATGCTCCTGTTTTGGGTGTGTATTGCTTGATGCAAACGTGGTGTTTGAGCTCAAACGTGGTGTTTGAGCTCAAAGAGAGCTACAGTAGTTGAACATTAATTAACTGTAAATCATTTGTATAATGTGTAACCGTAAAGCACATGAATAGGAAACGCACTGTGTTGTAATAGCAGAGGTGCTTTACTTTGAGTTACTTAGGTGGACAGAGATACAGGCTAACTGATCTTCAAAATCAGCATCAGAGACTCATGCTTACTCCTACTGGCATTTCAGTCAGGTTAGATTTCAGTCCTGTTGCTAAAGAAAGAAAACAAAGGGAGTTTTTTTACAGTGTGTAATTCTAAATCTAAACTGACAAGTTGCCAAGTAGCGCAGTAATTCATTGGTTGAGTAGTCAGCTTTTTTTTCCCCACTTTTTCCTTTAACACGTTATTTGTTTTCTTTTTTTGTCTAAGCTAAGCCACTCAGTACTTCAACAAATTTTTGCAGTAACATCTGCAAGTTAACTGTTGGCAGTAATTCTGGAACCGGATTCTCTTCTACATTCCTTTCAGAGATAATTTGTGAAATATATCAACATCTGTTAGAACTTAAATTATATTGAATAGTACAAGGTGTCTTCATGTGTCCTATGCTTTTCACTCATTTTTGTATGTGTGTCTTTTGGAGAAAGTTCAGGTTTTGCCGTTCTTTTCATTTTAAATCTCTGTAGAAACTTGATCGATGTGTTTTTGTTTTAAAAACAAACTAAAAACAGATATCTCTTTGCATCCAAAACCAGACCTACTTCCATTTGTCAAAATGGAGTCTCCATTAGACTGGAGGATTTTTGTTTACATACCTTGTAGTACATTCTGTTCTTACTCTAAGGGTAACTTCTTCATAATTCCAAGCTAATCATTTGCTTGCCGTGGTCTGTGACTGTGGTTTGATAAAGTTTCAGTGGCAGCATTGCACAAGATTTCTGGCCCTCATTTTGCCTTCTCAGCTGTGTTACGGGCTATCGCATTACAGGAGTTCCAGGTATATTGAGTTTACTTCCAATCCTAGCTATTCTGTGATTCTAAGGGACCCCAAGGATAATCAAGCTCCAACTCCCCTGCCACGAGTCCTTTTAAGTTCATAGCAAAGCACAGGCAATTTTACATAATCTGAAGTTTGTCATAGAGGCAGTGAAGCATTGTAAATGACTTCCTGATTTTTCACCTCTTCCTATGTGACCTGGAGCTCTGTCATCCTTCACGGTGCTGGCTCACTGTATAGAAAATGATAGAAAATTCTTCTTTAGTGTTCCAAGCATTGGGTACGACAGCCCTGCATTGCCCAGTACTACTTTTGTTAGACAGGGAATGGTTTCTTTTTTTAATTCATACACATTTTTTAATTTCACCTCACTGTCAGGAGTGATCTAAGTTTTACCAGTGTTTGAAACAGAGCCTTTTGGTTCACAACCTAAAGTGCTGTGGGATTATTACTATTTGCTGTTGTCTGAGGCGCTTTGAAATCTATTAAATGTATTAAATCTATTAAGTTACTAGAATGTGTAACTGTGTAACTGGTAAATGATTTAAAGGGTTCATTCTTGAGTAGGCAATGTGTTTCTTTACTCCATCATTTTCCTTATTTTTAAAGGAAGCAGAGGTGCATATGCCTCTGACAATTCTTCCATCCGTGTCTAGCTCTGATGGTGAGTCTCAAAATTTTGTTGGGTTGGAAGTGGACTCATTGATGGAGATGTATCAAAGTTACTGTGATTAGATGTTTGGGGCATGAAGTGGATTTTAGAAACTGTCCTCTTGCATCCAGGATTGAGCTGGCTGTTTCTTTAAGTACACTGTCTTCTTGGTCTCATCTGTATAACGTCACATCTGTGATTCTGAAGCCTGAACAGGAGTTCAGATTTCATTTTCGTCTTTGATCTTCAAAGCATTCAGGCTGCCAAGACCTTGCAATTTTAGGTGGAAAGCACTGATCCTTTTACTGGCAGTAAAAGCTGGTTTGCATACAGCATGCTTCATAGTATTGTAGAATATCATAAGTTAAAGGGGACACACAAGGATATTTTGTTGGTTTTGTAATTGCCTTGTGATACGAACTTGTAGGTGAGTAATCACTTAAAGAGGGCTGTAGTTCAGTGGGTACGTTGGTGTTGCTGGAGGCTGGCAAATTGGAAGCAGTGACCGAAGAGCGTCTGACACACCGCTTGTGAAACCTAAAAGCACTACTTTCCTGTGTATTTTCCACAAAATTAGAAAACCCACAATGCAAGTCTTTGGTGTTTTATGTTAGTTTTATAGCACTGAAGACTTCAGGTGAAGCTTTTTCACATGAGCCGTTCCAAAGGTCTGCACAGTGAAACATCATACTTCATCAACAGGTGGACAGTCTGACCTGTCCAGTTACTGCCTTTCATCTCTTTCAACAAGTCAGAGAAGGAGCATAACATACTCCAACATAGTGAAATAAAGTTCACATCACTTTAGGAATGCTCTAGCATTCTTTCTAGTGGTGTGCAAAATGATGTATGTGATCCCTGATAGAAAATAATTTAAAAAAACAAGCCCACAATGCCTTTGTAGTGAAAGGTGTTTGTGCCTAGGGATCTGCTTTATGCTGAAACACTTTGAGACCAGTCATCAAGTTCTTTATTATCTATGTGGAAAAACTGTGATTATAAAGAAGATTTCTGCTGCAATTTGATAACACTGTAACTTATTTCTTAATTGTCTCTTTTCCCTTAGCGTCTGCCCTTCTTTCTAGACTTGATCCTAAAAGTATTGTACCAGTCCTGAATGAAGAAGAGGGCTATCATCAGATTGGACCAGCAGAGCATTGCAGAGACTATTTTGTTTTGTCTGTGACCATTGCATTTGCCACACAATTGGAACAGGTTTGTTTCACGTCCCATTTAGTTTTGAAGAAGTACTGTGCTACACTTGTATTTTTGCCATCCTGTAGCTCCTTTCTATTTAGATTTTTTTGGTACCTTCTCTCTTGTAACAAATAGCCTTGTCCCTATAGTGAATTAATATAAATTAAATTGAAATTGTAAAACTCTGTGTAGTATTAACATGTTAAAAGATCAGAATTCTTTTGGGCACTTAAACTGTAGTGATACATTCTTCTTTTTCATTTCTCTTTCAGTTAGTTCCTAGTACTATGAAGCTTCCTGAGCATCAGCCTGAGTTTTTTTTCTACTACTCATTACTGGGAAATGATGTAACAAATGAACCTTTCACTGATTTGATTAATCCAAACTTTGAACCAGAAAGAGCTTCTGTTCGAATACGTAGTTCAGCCGATGTCCTTCAGGTTTATCTTTGTGCACAGTCAAAGCTGCAGGTAACCTGTTTCTTCTCAAATGTGAATGAAAACAAATGAAATACTGAAAATAAAGGAAATAGAATCTGGCTTGCTTTGAAAGTAGATTTCTTTCCCCAAAGCTTCCTTATGTTACAGTGTTTTGGCTAAGTATAACTTATTTTTTATGCCAATGTGAGAAACACCAACAAGTTTCCTTGCTCATAAATAGTGCAATCTCTTTAATATGGTGACCTTTAGCATAATTTGGTGGTCGCATGTCATGGCGAAAGACACTGCTGCAAAATGACAGTGTTGCTAATGTGGCATCCCCGAGGGCTCTCAGCTCTGGAGCCTCCTGAAAGCAGACCATCTGCAATCCGTGCTCCTGTAACCCTCGAATAAGTTCTAAAATGACTTGCCTTCAGCACTGTGTGTGAATAATAAGAGTGGTCTGGGATTTCCCCCTGCTTCTCAGCTGTTTAAAAAATGCTGCAGCCATATTCAGGCTGTTACGGGATATTGCTTGTCTTTAAGTGTGCCTTTAAGTGTTGGGGGTATTTATAGTGATCTGCACTTGGCTCACACTTAAGTCACTCTTAAGTGACTACAAGTAAGTCAGTGTTTCTGAGGGTGGTGTAGGTTTTCTAAACATAGCTGTTAAGTACTACAGTGTTAGTTATAAAGGGTCCATATCCAGACTTATACTCTAAAGACAACTATCTATTTCTTGATGTAGAGCTGTTTCTCTGACATAGCTTCTTAAAATTTGGGATCCAGTAGCAGAGCTTTTTTTTTTTTTTATCCTTAATTTTAATATACTTTTTTTTTTCCCCCTGAAAAAGAAGTGTAATGCCAAAATGTGCAAATTTGGGTGTATATTCATATGTGTATATTAGTGTCTCATATGTATTAAATGTTGAATTTATATATAATACAGCACTCTGGTTTGCTTAAAAAAACTAACAAGCAGAAGTGATTTATTGGGAAAAGTGAAATTGATTTATGAGTTTCAGAAGACAGATTTTATTGAGGAACGTAAATCACATTTTTTTAGATCCTTCTACTGAAATAGGCAAATATTAGACTCTGGAATGTAGAAAGAGTTGAGTCAGAGTTTGAAAAAGGAATTAAGACTCTTAGCAAGACTTAAGAGTATGATTACTTAATTCTGTTAAGCTATTTAAGCTTGATTAAATTATTCAAGTGGAGTTTAAATATGAACTTTCAAATAAATTGCTTTATTTCTTCCTGAGTCATGCATTTTATATGTTTATACCTTAAGGGCATGAATCTGCACTGTGCTTACAAGGCACACACTAATAAATCTGTGATCCAGAAGGGGTGATGTGATGATTGTCCTCAAAAAACAGCATGCACTGATGAGCTGCTGTGATAACACTAGGCACAGCCAGCCAGCTCAGCACTGAAATCTCACAGCAGTTCTTACACTGCTCAGAATACTGGTTCTCAGCATATAGGGACAAGACTAGGGATGAAGGTTTTTATTAGCAATACATATGAAAATACATATGGCATTTACTTCCTGGTACTTCTGTATGTGTACAGATTCATCTTTGCTGTGGTGACCAGTCCCTTGGAAGCACCGGAATACCACTGTCTGGACTACTGAAGAAAGGAAGTGTGGAGATTGATCAACATCCTATGGCAATAGAAGGAGCATTTGTCCTTGTTCCACCAAATAGGGCTAAGCAGAACCTGCCACAGTTACCTCTGGATATGGCTCCTACTGTTGGGGTATCTGTAATTCTGCAAAAGGAGTGCTTAAATGATCAGGTATAACTTACTAATAGTTAGAGTGTTGTTTCACAGTTTCATGTTTAAGAAAGAATATTTCTAAGACATATTTGACAGTTAAATATGTAACAAAAAATCAGAAAAAGATGAATACTTTTGTTGCTTCATTTTTTCTATGTCAGAAAGATAATCTCAGGCTTACTACAGACAGAATTTTTCCCATTCAATCCATGATCAGTAATATCATATCACTTCATTCAGCCTTTGGTGCCTTCAAACATTCCAATTGAACTCAAACAGCCAAAGAAAGTTCTTTCACCTACTGATAGAGAAGCAGAGGGCCTGAAGCAGAGATCCCAGGATGTCCCGTCTCAAGTTGACCACTCTCCTCCAAGAGAAGGTGAAGCAACAGAAAGTGAAGCAGAAAGTCTGAAGTTTGAAGAAGGCACAGAGCTAAAGGGAGCTGGTATGTGATGTATGTGGGTTTTTTGTTTGTTTGTTTTTGTTTTTCCTAATTGCCAAGCACAATCTTGGGTTATGTACTACCTATCTGTGGTCATAAATCTTTGGCAAGTAAGAATTGTTTACATAGGATAGATGATAGTGTAAGTGCTCCTCAGATTGAGGATTTGTTGTTGTCTGGATTGTGAGTGATAAGGATAGTCTTCATCTTGAAAAAGAATACCAGAAGCATTTGAAATTTCTTGAATCTGAGAATGGTGAGGTTCGGTACAAACTCATGAAGAGAATTATTTCTTTGGTTGTAATGGTCTAAAAGTTCAAATGTTTTAAACAGAATTTTTAAAATTAGATTTTTAAAAGAGGAGATACTGATCCTAAAGAAACCGTGTTCTGTAGAAGAAAATCTTGTTCTCAGTATTTGTCTGCTATTTCTGAAAAATTTCTTCTAACCGTAACAGATCTTAGCAAGGCGAAGGTTAAATCCTTTTATGTTAAATGCATCAAAACTTTTACGAGCTATAAAACTGTTTCGAATCAGTGGTTAAGAATATGTAGTTAACACTTTCATAATGCTTTGGCAAGATGAAAAACATGTCATTTCAAAATTATCTTTCAGGGATAGTGGATGACTCCTGCAAAGATGTTAACAAACAATACACTGAAGAGCTCCCGGTTTTCAAATCACAGGGCAATGCAAAATCACTGCTGTTTTCAGGTCTGGAAAATTCCAGTAATGCAAAATAACTTACAAAAATTAATACATTGAATGGAATTTAAATGTAGTAGCAACTCAAATTATTTTTAACTGTAGACTGTAAGAATTTTTATGTTCTCTGTGAGAGCCTTAAAGTTCTTCCCATCCATTTAATTGCACTAAGCAATTTAGTGCCATAATCTGTTACCTAAGTAAATTAGAAGACTTAATTTCATTACCACATTATGCTAACTAGCTGATGTTGAAGTGCTGAAGTTTTCCTTTTTATTATTAATGTAAACATCACTCTATAAACCAGCAGAAGGAGAAGGAAATTTGATGCTAGCAATGATGTATTTTTTTTTTTTAAATTACAATAACAGAAACATCTTGGAAGGTTATGAAGAAAGAAGATCAGAACAACTAGTGCTTACAAAAGGCATATGAGCTTCTCTCTGACAGATCTTGCCTTTTTTGTCTGCTCTAGTCTTAAAAGTTTTGGAGGCTGACTTTTGGAGAGCCTATTTGTAAAAAATTGTTGTTTGACCTGTTACGTTTTTGAAAGAGGTAGTGGAGAGGCTAAGGTCCCAGTTCATGGACTTGATAAGCCTGGAATGCTTCTGTGATCGACTTTTATAATTGAATATTATAATTTATACTGCAAGGAATTAAAATCGTTTAGGAAGTAACGCAGTTGCCCTTATATAAGAAATGAGCTATATATTTTGTTGTTTGGGGCAGAACAAATTATTAAAAATGTGCATGTTCTCTTGTGATTTCAGCAGGTGATGCTCCTGTAGTTGCACCTCAGCCCAGTTCTGTGAGTGCATCTGGTTGTTCTGGGACTGCATCAGCACAGAAAATTCTCATTCCAGCAGCCTCTCACCATTTTTGCTTTTCAATAGACTTACGAAGTGTGCGTGGTCTAGAAGTTGGTTTTCCTATAAACTGCATTTTAAGGTAAGATTTGTTTTGTTTTTTTCTTGCACTTGGTAGTAGAGCAATTAATACTTCTGAATAATTGCTGTCAATATTCTGCCTGATGAATTTTACTTTCATTTGGCTGAATGCTTTGGAATATTCAACTAGTCCGTCACTAAACCTCTGAGAGCGTTAAAGACAGTATGTAACACTTAACCTGCACTGGAATTCTTATTAAATAGCTCACCTGAATATCAGTAATTCTCCTTTCTCTCCATCTGACTATTTTTCCAGGTGATAGAAGGAATAACTTCTGTGGCATTTAATGTCTCTGTCAGGAACAGGTTGTGTTTTAGTAAGATAATTGGTTGTGTGCAATGTTGAATCTAAAATACACACGCTTTTTTCTTACAGTGAAGAACTTATGTAGTAAATGCTTTATCATTCTGAGCAGTAGTATTACTGGTTTGATAGTGGTTTTCATACAGGGAGCAAATTTTAGTAGGAAGATGCATCTATTCTTCTTACATTTGTTCCTCAAGTTGAAAGAAAAGACAAGCTTTTGGATAATTGAATGTTTTGCTTCAAGCAGAAATACAAAGCCTCCATGCTAGTTTGGAACATTTGTGTAAAGATCAGTTTGTTACTGTACTGAACATGAAGGAAAAGTGTGGGAGCACTTCTGGAGCATAATCTTCAGGGAGCAAAAGTTGGCATGGAGGAGAAATTGAGGATAAGAGAAATAAGAACTAAAAGATGAAGCACCACTTACAAGCCCCATCTCAGTATTCAGTTTGTTTTTCTTTAACTTAGTCTTTTTATTTTTTATTCTCCCAGTGGTTTTTTTATCAACTTGTTTTCTTTTAGGGTTTTATTAAAATTATGGTTCAAAAGTTCACAGATATTGGAATATGAAACATTAATGTTAATTTATAGCTTTTTAACATTAAATAAATTGGCATTTTCAGTTCAAGCAAACCAGAGTTCAGTAAATTCTTGGCTTCTTGGTTATCACACCCTGAATTTGCTTACGCAGTACTTTCAGTACACACTCAGTCATACCTGTAGAATATGTCTTTCCTTTTAGTAAATTGAACCGTGGGCATTATAAACATAAAGCATCCAATGTGAGTTAAATTTTCAGGTGGTTCTGACACTGAGTGTATTTGTACTTCATCAATTACCGTGGCTGAACAACACAGAATTACATATACTATAAACAATTACATGTACTAGAATACCTAATTCTTCTTCAGTTATTTTATAAAGTGTGCAGAGAAATAGAATTTTACTATAACAAAAGATTAATTCATGTTTCTGAACATCCATATGGATTTTGAAAGCTTTTTGTCAAAATAACAGCAAATACAAAGGAAGCTGCATTAGCACTGAAGTAAGTGAGAACTCCTAAATATTTCTTAGGTAAGTTCTACTACTGCATGTATTTCTGCTGTTTTCACTAACGCTAGTTTTTCTTTCTGAAAAGCTTAAAAAAATTAATCACATCTATTAAACTGATTGCTGTTGCTGCTGTTTTTATTAGGTACTCCTACCCCTTTTTTGGCAGTGCAGCGCCTATTATGACAAGCCCTCCTACAGAAGTCAGAAAGAACATGGAAGTTTTTCTTCCCCAGTCCTACTGTGTATTTCACTTTGCAACTACGCCTCATCAGCTTCAGGACACGTTTTTCAGGTGATAATTTTCATTCTTTTTGTCATAATTATATTGAATGTGTTTCATATTTTTCATTGCAGATAACATCAGTTTCTAATACTTCACTGAAGATCTTCAGTTTGAGAACTTAGTAAAGAATCAAAATGCTTGTAGCAATGTATATTTAATACATTGCTCTTTCAGTTTCTTTTATTACTTTATTTAAAGACAGAGACTCAAATTCTTGTTTTTGTCTCTTAAGTATTTCTGTAGGCTGGAATCGTTGCATGCTGCTGCATTAAGTTTTTAAATTAAAGGTTAATAACATTTCTCATGAAGCATTTATTTCTCATTTGATATATATATATTCTTTTGTTTTAATATACAATGACCTCTGATATCTTTGAAAATACTGAAACCCGGGAAACTGAGTACAGCTCCATTGTGGGTTATAGCATGGTTTTTCCAGAAGTAGGTTTATCCCTTTTGACAGGGGATTGAGATGTGGAATAAAAGAGTAGTCAAAATAGTGGCATTTTGAAAGAGAAGGCACAGAAGAGCTATTCTGTGAGTGACAGTGGCTGAGGTATTTGTAGGTAATTATGAATGAAGATGATCTAGGTCTAATATTATCAAAGTTAAAATTAGTCATTTTCATTGCAGTATAGCTCTTCATTGTAATTGGAGTACTGAGGAGTAAGTGATGGAAAATATACCAGTTCCATGAATATCATTCCTCTGAGTGAAAGGCAGTAAGCCTCTCTCGTTTGACTCTTGTGACCAGTCGTGATTTGGGAAGTTACATGAAGTCTTTCTCCTCTTGCGTGTTGATCACTGACACAAAGACCATTTTCTTGTTTCAGACTACCTCTGCTGGTTGAATTGTGGCACAAGGATAAAACAGCCAAAGACTTGCTTCTAGGGACTGCAAGACTTCAGCTTTCAAATGTTTTGACTTCAGAGAAAACACGGTTCTTGGGTGCTAATGGTGAGCAGTGCTGGCGTCAGACTTACAATGAAGCAGTCAACGTCACAGCAGCACAAGGGTAATAACTAAAAATTGCTTTATTTGTAGCAGACTTTGAAGAATTATTTGTTTAATATTTCTCTCAACAATGGCCAGCCTTTCCTGTTTGCCTTTTTGCTCTATAGCTTTAACACCTTTCTTTAAATGGAAGAAATTGAGACTTCCTTGTAAAGGCTGTGTTTTGTAGCCTGTAGTAGAAAACATGCTTAAGAAGTAATAATTTTTTTAATCTTTCAACAAATACTTGCAGTACTCTTACGATTTTTTTTTTTTTTTATGATAAAAGCAGGAAATAAGAAATGCTGACGGATTGAATCTTCAAAATCAGACATTTAACTAGGAGTGCTACAGGTCTTCTATAGCTGCTTTGCCCAACCCTTGGAAATTCCTGCATAATATCTGTGCATGGGTACTTAAACTGTTGATACATCAACTTGTTCATTTTCATACTAGGAACTCTAGGGAATAATAAGTAAAAAAATTAAATAGAGAAAAAAAAAAATTAAGACAGAGTCATGACTATTAACAGATCTTGCAGGGATCTCAAAGAGGGTTGCTAATGTTTGAAAAAAAATACTGCTTGAAATTAAGTGTAAAATGATTTTGGTAGACTGCAAATATTATGAAAAAAACTCACAACCTTTTTTGTTTGTTTTTAACCTAAGCTTTCCATTTTGAGACCAGATAAATTGTGATTGTTTTCCTCACTTGAAAATTCAGTCTATGGTTTCACAGAACAGAAACTCATGACTTTATTATTTACTCTCACCCTTGTATGAAGTACAGCTCCCAACAGCTTGTGTGTGTGAGACTGTACTTTAAATTGGATGTCTGAAACAATCTTTATAGAAAATAATTCTAGTGAAGGATCCTGAGTGAATTGGTGAATGGGCTTCTTGCAGAGCAGAAGGGTGGGAGGAGGCATCCAAGAGATAAAAAGTTTAATTGCCACAGGCATACTGTGCGACAGTGCACTGCTACTCAAGTCATTTTCTTTGGTTTATATCATTTAATAGTGGTCTTGGATAAACTTCACTAACAGATATAAATAATTAAAAATCAAGAAAATGTTACTGAGGAACCTTCATGAGTAAGTTATGTAAGAGTTGTGAAAACCTTGTTTGTCCACAGCATGCTTCCAGAACAACTGACTTCAGTGGAAGTTAGGAGAACAATCCACAGAGGGATGTTACTCTGATAATAGCAGTGTTTTCTGCTTGAGTACTTCAGAAGGAGCAGTGGCTTTAGTTAATGTTTCTGAAGATGTTTTTTTCCTTGAGGGATTTACATTCTTTTTCATATATATGGAGAAAGTTAATTTGCGGTGACTTCTCTCTTAAACCCTTGTCAGAATTGTGAACTGTTCTGGTAGTCGGTGTCTAGATCCTCATTATCACCCTGTGATAATGAAACCTGACTATGCCTTTTAAAAATAAGTAAAAATTCTACTTAGTTAGTGTTAAGTCTCTACTTGTACAGATTCTAAGTTTTATATGCAGGAAAATTCTGAGGACTGATATGGAGACCAGTATCTTCTGTCCTCTCAGACTTGCAGAAAATTGATCTCTGCTTCCATTTAAGTTTCTGTTGTGTGGCCTGATTCTTTGGAGAGTTGATCTCAGTGGACACTAAGGTTGATGCTTTCTCAAATATTAGAAGTTTAAGATAAAACCTTTTTTGCACAGTACCTAACCACTAGATGGCGTTCCCAAAATGGCCTCAACTGTGCATTTTGCTGTTCTGTTACTTTGCTGGCTTTTCTCCTGTTGGTGTAATGTTCATTTTAGACTCATATGTTAAACCACCATAATTATATTTCTGAGGTCCATTATCTTAAATGTTTTTTAGTCAGCTACTGATAGAAAGTTGTAAGAACTCAATTCAGTAATTTATATTAATTTATGAAATTTATGTTTTTCTCTTAAAGGGAATAGTGTAAACAGTTGCACTTTTTTTTCTTTTTAACAACTAGTTTTGTCATTTTATAGCTAGGAGAGAGGATTTCTGTGAAAACTTAAATGATTAATTCCTATGTTTTTTTTTCTTGTGAATCAGTGTCCAGGCTGTAAGTGATTGTTCCACTGCCTTCACATCCTTATTTAGTTTATAACTGATATGGTAATGTTTTTTCTGACCACTTATAGGTCTGTGTTGAAATGTACTTTCACATTAGACTAGTGATAACATTCAGTTAAATGATTTATCTGTGGATTCTTTCTCTCAGCGTCTTTCTATGCAGAAAACTACTTTTGTTTACTGTATTTCATCTGAGTTTAGAGGTAAGACAGCCAGGGACAAACTGTTCTGTTTGGACAGAAGCTGTAACTTACTTCAGATTAGTTTCCTAAAATATTTGTTTTCTGGACACTCTCACTGTATTTGAAGAGACATTTATTTACCATAAAAAGGTCCATCTCTAAGTGCATGTAAAGATATCAGTTCTCTGTGCTGAAGCTTCTAGAAGCATGCTTTTTAGGAGTCCAAGGATACCTTAGCACAAATGATAAGTTGGGTGGCTTATTATATTTATGGTTAATTAGGAAGTTATTGTTCATTTTGTGGAAGGTTAACAGAACTTTGTTGTGTATCTTAATGTGTTCAGTTTAGTAGCAAAATGCTTTCAACACGTATACTTTTTAAACATTTAAGACTGCATTTCTGGATCATGCTCTTACTGCAGGATGTGCTGATTATGATTAGATGCTGGTGAGCTAAGTTCCCAGTCACAAGCTTGGCTACTTAGGTTTAAAAAAAAAAAAAAAAAAAAAAAGTTTAGATGAGTCCTTAGATTAACAAAGTAAGTGGGAGAGCATGGTTGGAACGTCACAGATAAGACTGTTCTGGAAGTCTGAGAAATCACAGAAAACCAAATAGGTCTTTAGCTTTGCAGTTTGCAGGTTGTCTTGCAGTTCACTTCCTTAAGTCTGTATTAATTAAAATAATATTCTAATGTAATTTTCAGGTCAGACACCAGAATCGCAGAGCTTTTATATGCCGTCACTTTGGAAGACTACGGACTTGTGAAAATCCATGAAGTTCTGGTGTCAGACTCTTCTCAAGTAAATTTTGCATTGATCATGGCCTTTTTCCCTGAACAGTTCATTCCAAAGTGTTGGTTGTTTTTTTAATTGAATATCCATTGTTATGTCAGTGTGTAGGTGCTGGTCAGCAGCGGCATGCCACTCATGCTCAGCTTCATTGTGCTTCAGAAAAACAGCCAGAACCACGGGAAACTCTTGAATACAAAGCGGCACTGGAATTAGAATTATGGAAGGAAATGCAAGAAGACATTTTTGAAAATCAGGTTTTTAGTCTTCTGCTTTCTAAACAACATAACCACATTGAGCAACTGGCAGCATCGGTGGAGGGAACATTAACTGTGTTTTTTTTTTTAAACTTTCCCATTGTTTCTAGAGCTACATCTTGCTCATATGCTTTAAAACTTTGGAGATACACAAAAATATCGTTTTGTACTCATAAAGGCAGAATATTAATTATTGATTATTATGAAGTGATAAAGTAGTTGCTGTGTAATGAAATATTAAAGTATTGATCTCCCTTCATGGCTTCTGCAGTGCAGGAGGTATTCAAGGTGCAAACTATTACTGTTAAATATTAACTCTACAATTACTTATTCTCAGTTAAGTCCTACTGCTGTCTTTGTATGCTTCAAACCATTCTGCTCATCCTATAAATGTTTCCTCTAACAGTGAAAATAGGTATCGTTGCAGTCCTGTGCAAGTTGATAGAGTGAGAATCTACTTTGTTTTGGGTTATTTTTTCAAAAGTAGGCTGGCTTCACAATTCATTTGTAAGGGTAAGGGATATCTTTCGCTATCGAAGCCATACCGTAAGTTACAGTAAACCAGTGTGTTAAAGGCTTAATTCTGCTAGTTGTCTCTCTAGATTGTGCTATCAACAATTTTGACTTGAGTTCCTACTTTGTGACTTCTTGTATTTTGTGACTTTTTTTTTTTCCGTTTCTTGCTTTTAAAAGCTTAAAAAGAAGGAAATGGCCCGTATGCAAGCACTTGCAGAAGAATGGAAGAAAAGAGATGAAGAGAGAGAAGCACTAGTGAAGAAAAAGGTGTGGAAACTAGTTCATATACTTGCTGAAATGTCTCATTATAATTTTTATAGTAATATGATAAAATACTTTGCAACAAATGAGAGAGACCATAGTAAATTCTCACAGCTTCATACTGAGTATGTATTTAGCCACAACAAAATAATTTGATTTGCATCAAAATCTGGCTAATCATATGTTTGTTTAATGTTGATGGGAAGCCACTAGGTCGTCTACCTTAAGATTACCTAGAGAGAATTCTTCCTACACATCCCTTCAGCTAGCTAGCTTTCTCTTGAGGAGGAGTTTTAATCTCACTTGGCTCTTGTGAACATAAGAGTAAAAAAAAATGACAACAGTACAGTTGGAATATATTAAGCTGTGTTTCTCTCAGATTCTTTCTAATAAAATAAAGGTTCACTATCTTCATTATTAAAAGATTATTATCATCAGTAAAAGCTGGAAGTTTGTTTTCTGTGTAAATTTCTAGATCAAATATTATTGATACTTTATCAAGTTTTAAATTTTGAAATCTTCAGCTGTCTAAAACTTGATGGTTATTACAAGAGAAAAGGTTTGTTGTTGTGTGTGTGAATATATATATATATATATATATATGAATATATGTATATTTTTAACACAGGTAGCAGAATATACTGCTCTGGAAGAACAGCTTCAGAAAACCCTGAGAGATCTAGATCAACGGGAACGACAGCTTTTGACTGCTGAATCAGAGGTAAAAAGTCTTTTGTCACTTTATCCAGTTTTAATTGCATGAGTTGCTTTCACAAGTTTCTCTTGGGTTGCTGTTGTTGTTTTTTTTTTAAGTTTTCTTATGGACAAAGTTGTGGTCTGTGTACAATAACTAAAATAGCAACATTCATACTGATGCATAGATGAGCACTAATAATTTAAAGCAAAATTTTTATAAGGGTGCATGTTTACTGAAATAGAAGTTGTTACATTTAAGAGTTTGCTGAACAAGTGTAGAACTGTAAATAGTGTCTTCTTAACAGAGTTAGTTGAGATGTTTATATAACATTACAATATCACAGTTTGGTTTATATCCTGTTATGCTAGGCATTGTACACGTGTACAAGCATGCTTCATTTCAAGCAGTAATTGCTAGATGAACAGAGAGCCAGGTGACAAGGAATGCTGGGAAGAACTGTGATTGTCCATGTTTTGTCATCCAGGAATTTGATATAATTCCTGTCTTGTATTTTCAGTAGTGACAGAACCAAAGAAAATATGGTAGAAATGGCAGCTATGACTGTTTCTGGATCTCACTAAATAATCCTATATCTAGGGAGCAAGATGAGTCCTCAGCTGGTAATGTGGAAAGGGGGCATGGGGTGAACTTTTTTTTGTTTCTTCAGAACAGTCTCACAACACAGGTAGCTGTGGTTGAATTAGCAGTCCAGCAGTCTCTTTTCTCCTGTAGCTCATGTCACTCTTTTTATAAGGCACAAGTGGAAATAAACTTGGCAAGGGATATGAAAAATAAGAAGAAAGGCAAAGAACAATGTACCCGCTCTGATAAATGAGAAGACATGGAGAACGTGTGATCCTCAGTGAGTTCTATGCCTCAGTTATCATGGCTAGTTAGGCTTCCCACACCTCTTGAACCTCTAGGCAGGGGGGGGGAGGGAGGAGAAATCTATCCTGATGTAAAGGCAGAGGAAGTCCAAGAGAGTCTCAAGAGGCTGTATGTGTACAGGTCAATGGGGCGAGACAACATGAGTCCTGTCTTCTGAAGGACTAGCTGATGTCATTGCTGAGCTGCTCTCCATCGTATTTGAAAAATCATGGCTGTTGAATGAAGTTCCTGGTGACTGGAAGATGGGAAACATCACTCTCATTTTTAATAAAGGGAGAAAGGAGGACTGCAGGAACTACAGACTGGTGGTTTTCTCATCTATGTCTGGGAGGACTATGGAGCAGATCCTTCTGGCAGCTATGTTAAGGTACATGGGAAATGAGGATGTGATCTGAGACAGCCTGCATGGTTTTACCAAGGGCAGACAGTGCCTGACCAGTCAAGTGGCCTTCTGTGTAAGGGAGGCTCAGGGGAGAAATGATCACTTTCTACAGTGACCGGAAAAGAGGTTGTAGTGAAGCAGGCATTGGCTTTTTCTACCAGGTAACAGTGATAGGATGAGAGATGATAGCCTCAGATTGTGCCAGGGGAGATTCAGATTGGAAAAGTTTCTTCTCAGAAAGGGTAGTGAGGTATTGAAACAGGCTGCTCAAGGAAGTACTGTACTTACCATCCCTGAGGATTTTCAAGGAAAGAGTAGATGTTGCACTGAGCGATATGATTTAATGGTATTGTGTTGATGATGTGTTGATCTTAGTGGTCTTTCCAGCTTTAATGATTTTATGACTCTATGGTTCCGCACTACATCTTTAAATTGGAGAAATACGGATTTGAAGGATGGACTATTCAGAAGGCAGGGGGTTGGTGGGATGGTCACAGCCAGAGGGTTGTGGTCAGTGGCTCTATGTCCAAGTGGAGGCTATTGACAAATGGTGTCTCCCAGGGGTCTGTTTTGGAACCAGTGCTTTTCAACATCTTTATCAAGGACATAGATGGTGGGATTGAATGTACCCTCAGCAAGTTTGCTCATGACACCAAGCTGATTGGTGCAGTCTGTACAACAGAAGGAAGGGATAGCATCCAGAGAGATGGAGGCAGGCTTGAAAAATGGGCCTGTGTAAAATAATGAGGTTCAAAAAAGCCAAGTGCAAGATGTTGCACTTAGGTTGGGACAATCCCAGGTATGTCTGCATTCACTGATAGCGACAGGACAAGAGAGAATGGCTTTAAATTGAAAGAGACAGATTAGGCTACAAATTAAGTGGCAAATATTTATTTAGAGGGTGCTGAGGCACTGGCACAGGCTGCCCAGAGAAATTGTGAGTGCTCTGTCCCTGGAGGCATTCAGTGCTAGGTTGGCTGGGTTGTGGGCAGATCTGGTGAGTGGCAGCTCTGCCTGGGGCATGGGAGTTGGAACTCAATGACTTCTAAGGTCCCCTCCAACCTAAGCCATTCTGTGACTGTTATCCATGCATTGCTTGTGAACGAAGGTCAAATCCCCATAGAGGGACTGGCTGTTGGAGCCTGTGTCCTCTTCTGTCCTCAGGACCTCTTTATACTACCCAGAATGCAGTTTGTACTGTAAACTGTCTGACTTTACCTTCTGTGTACAAAGTCTGGTGATTGTTTTATTCAGACTGAAATACATTCAATCAAAATAATTACTATTTTTCTCATACACCTTTGTCTTAAAAGTTGCTTTAAATTTAATGAGGTTCTAATTGGAGAGTTTGGGGTGATAAAAATCTGTGGATTCTAAAGGAGGCTAGACAAAATTACGTAGAGTTTAGTTAGCAATTATAGTTTGAGAAATGAGCAATTTGGAGAGATTTGTATTCAGCTAGCAGTCATGCAGGCCAGTAACATCTTTTTAGGGAATTCAATCATGTCAAAGATTGTTCTCTTGTTAAGCTCAGCCGGAACTTCTTTCAGTGCTCTCATTTTGAAGAGTGGCATCTTAGTGAACTAAAGACATTGTCTTGGCTGTAGCTGAAACTTTGCTATTCATGTATTGAAGGAAAATTTTGAATTTTTAAATTGCTAGTGGAAAATTAAATTGCAGGTTAATTTAGGAAACAAATAGACACACAGATAGCACTGCTTTGGTTTGTTGGTTTTGTTTTGTTTTTTTTTTTGTAAGCCAACTATAGTAATTGGAAGATGATTAGTTATGCTGAAGGAAATAAGAGGATATGCAAGTTCTGCTCTGAAAGTAATGGTTCCTGTTTTATGATGTTGGCCTATGACATCAGAGGCAGCGATGGTATGGCAGTAGAGGCTGACCCTATCAGTATTCCCTTCCATGTTGTTGCCATGGGACAGGTGTCAGCAGAAGGGCAGTCCGACAGAAAGGAGTCTGACATGGAAGTGCAGATGAAGCAAAACTGTGGAATTCATGTGGGGGAAAAAATGGCAGCCACTGACACTCATGTGCGCTTGCTGAACATTTATGGATACTAAGCAGTGGCTGTGAGCACAGTGAGAAAGTGGGTGCTGTGTTTCATCAGTGTGAGTCACTTCCCCTGGTGCAGACTTGTACAGGTGCAGTATGCAGGCTCTTGTTCATAGCTGCTCAAAACACATAGCTAATGGTGGTGTGTTGAAAAACAGTGTTTTTTAGCTCAGAGTTTGCTTTATCAAATAGTGTTATTGTGGTCCTTGTATCTGTTAAAGTTTTTGTGGAAATGAATAGGAAGTATTACTTTTGGAATAATCTACAAATTGTATGTACCAGTAACAATACAATTTCTGTTTAAAAATTGAAAATAATTTTTTGTCATGAATAAATAGTAACATTTTTAAGAGACTAATAAAAGAAAAATCCTGCACCTATGGATTAATGCAGCTGTCTCATTTTTAAGATTCAAAGAGTAAAGAAGGAGTTGCAAGCAGAGCATGAACAAAATAAGCATGAGGTACAGGATTCTGCGCGGCGAACCAGAGAAGAATGTGCCCACCAGGTTGAACTAGAAAGATCAAAAATCAAGCAGCTGGGAGAAGACAAGCTTCGTATACAACAGCAGGTATGCCCATTTATATGTTCTGCTTACATCATTTACTTCAAGATAATAGCAATAAAACCTTAAAATTAAATATGTTAAGTGGAGGAATGATATTTAGACAAGCATATTCTGGCAGTTTGTTAATGCATACTTTATTTCCATTTATTCAGTGAATTACGTGAAGAGATCCATCTCTGTCAGTCCTGCTTAATGTTAGGGCCACTTTGCAATGCAGTCATTATAATTTTACTTTTTTTAATGCTGAAGATCAAATTATGATTACAAGCATATGTTGTGTGTGGCTGTGATCTGAACTTCAGTGTACAGTTCAGTAACTTCTAATGAATTTTTAGCAATGAGCATCTATCAAAATGTCTAGGTAGCTTGACTTTGCAATTCATTTTATGCTTTCACTGCAAAATATTATTTTTATTATGGTGGGGAGGCAGTAATCCTCATGTTGTGGTCTTCTGTTTCGAAAATAGTGCTTCAAACCAGAAGAATCTACATGGCATTCTGTTGTCCTGTATGCTGTCTTTTGCACTGACAAAACTAACCCACCTACATTTTGCTGACTGTTAAAGAATTCCATACAACTATAAAAGCACTACGGTTTTGGAGCATATTTAGAAACTCATGTAGATTAAATCTTAATAAGAGTTGAACTTCCTTCACTACTTTTCAAAATAGACACAATACATCAGACCAAAGGTTAGATTTTGAGTCAAAGAAAACAACTGGGACAAGCATAGAAAACAGCAGGATTACCATCAGGACTTACATATATCCTGAGTGAGAGGCTGCATTTTTTAGTTACCTGCCATCAGTGGAAGTATTGCTCTTGAACTCACCTGACTGCTTATAGAAGAAAAAAAGTTTTAGCAGTGCACCATCCTGTATAGTTCACTCTGTACTTTGTGTATTTTAAAATATATTTTGTTCATTTTAAGCTTGTAGCTTAATTTATGTGAGTAATCCTTTTGTGCCATGCTACATGCCATTCCTGTAATTTCATTGGCGTGTCTCATACTCTTTTCCGGACATGAACCCTACTGTGTTTTGTATTCCATTGTATGAAGGCTATACCTTCTGCTGATCATCCTGGCTGCCTCTTTCTGTGTGGCTCCCACTATTTTGAGTCACTCTCGTGCTTTAGGATGAGGAAATATTACTTGCCTACATAATATAAAGATACACTTTTAAAAAATTTTCCTAAAGGAAAAATACAGGGTTGGTTATGGATTGGTTGGCTTACTTGGTCTTTATGAGTTAATGGGCTGGGCTTTTTGCTTGTTTTTGTAATTTTGGAGCCTCACTGTGGGATAAGTCTGCTGTGTGAACAAGCACAAAGTCCCTATTACTACCAGTTGTCATGGGTCTCTTTTTTCATATGATTTTCAGTATGCTTTTTCTGGTACTTGCTTTCAATAAGGACTGTTGTGGATTAAATTGGAAATACTCTAAAGCATATAGTTTGATTAATCTTTTGCCTTTTAAGGAGATGTGTAAATACATGCTTCTCACATATAAAGAACTGTAGTCTAACTTGCTTGGAGGTGAGCTCTAGAATGATTCCTGAAACTTAAAGAATCACTTTTATTTCCTGAAAATGAAGGTTTTGCTTTATTTGTGCAGTTCTCTAATAGCCTGAGGTCTCATGAGAGAATATTAAAAACAAGAAAAACACTCTTAGACAAAGATTAAACCTTATTGCTGAAGTTCTATATACATTGATTATTGTCTTTATTATATCTTTATAACAATATTTTAAAATCTATTAAAAAGTATTGATAAGAAACAATATCATTGGCAAAGTTAGTTGTTGTGGTATAAGTGGAAAAATAACTGCAGTGAACTGCTTACGTGTATCTTTGCTTTCTCACAAATTCTATTAAAAATAATAAATTATATAATAAACATCAATGAAAAAAATTGTTTTGTAAGAAAAACTGGGGCAATTCAATTGGGAGTTCCAAAGAATTGCAACATTGATATATTAATAAAATAGTAAATGTTAGGTTTGTAACAAAAAGGAATCTTTGAAGCATTTTCTAGCTGAGAAACATTCATTCTTCTGTAACGTTATTTTATCAACAGAACATTTTTATTAGTTGTTTTATTAATAACATCAATACAGCAGAAAAAAGTGGCTGTTAAGCTTTTGACTTGTTTAAGTTTTTGTAGCAAAGTAATATAATCACATACTGGCTTAATTTTTTCAAAATGCTCGTTTGAAAAAAGGAAATCAAAGCTCTTTTTATGTTATCTTCATGAAAGTCTGGAAGTACACAGTGAGGGCAGAGGTACGCAGCACTAAGTCATTCGTCACGGAACTGTTTGCTTCAGCCTTTTAAATCATTATTTGGCTGTATGAGATATTGGTCATTTCCTCATCCAGACACTGCTAAACAAATTATGCTCCTGAAATTTAGTCAGGAGTAGAACTTCATATAGCAGATATCATTGTTGGCTGTCTTTAAAAGTTGTGTGTACATCCAAATAGTTTTGTCTTCTGTGTTTCTTTTGCAAAGCTCTCTTTGAAATGCAAACAGCAGTGTTTATAAATCATCCTCTTTTGTATGAGGAGAGACTTGTTTTTTTCTTTCTAGCACAGAGCAAAGATCCTCTTTAAAATTATTCTTATTAAAACACTAGTGTATGCCATCACCAATATATCATTAATCATGACTGTATAACTCTCAGTATCTGTTTTGTTTCTGTTTTAATGTAGCTCTGTGAAGCAGAAAATAAGTACAAAATTTTGGAGAAGGAGTTCCAGCAGTACAAGGAACAGCAAAGTAGTAAGCCAGAAATCCAGCTGCAGTCAGAAATAAATCTTCTCACTTTAGAAAAGGTATCTTTTTTTTCAGTCTCTAAAAGCTACTGCAACAGTCCATTGGTGAGGGAGATGCAGAATGATCTTGCATGAACCTGGTTGATATGTCTATTTTGTTCTATTTTTACTTTTTCCAACAGTTTCCTCAAGCAAAATATTCATAGATAAGGCTAAAAGTGGCATTATTTCTGTAGAGGAAGCTGTCATGTTAGAGACCAAGTCAGAAGAAACAAGCTTATGTAAATGAATTGCTATTGTCATGATTTCTGCTTTGGACTTTGAGTATTCCGTTCATAAAATTAAATGAAGAGGTGCAATCTCTTGTGAAGGTTAATTTACACTGCTATTCCTTTGTGTGCTGTTTTCTTTTTTAATATTTTTGGACAGAGGTTGTGTTCCTTACTGTCACAAGTTGATTTCTTTATATCCGATGCATATAGATATTCAAAGCAAAAAATATTCTGTACACAGATACAGGCTGGAATTTTTGAGAATTTTGAGTCAAATTGTTGACAGAATCTTCTGGAAAAAAAAAAAACATATAAAAGACTCTTGGTTATGCAGCTAGTCTGCATGTCATTTTATGGTTGAATGGCTTCTAAAATGCTAGCAAATGATCAAAATGTTTCCTTGTACAGACATAAAATTTCTAACTAAAATATTTTGCTAAATTTCTTATTTTTGCTTTTTAAAAAAATCTTTGTAAATGTAGTGCTAAATAGCTTTTTTTCCAGTGAAAAGAAAATATAATTGTCTCAGATTTTTGATAGAAATGCTTTATTTTTCAGGAAACCCTGCTCTGTACTTTATATCTGTTTTCATTTCATGAGATTTTTAATTTCATTTTTAATACTGGAATTTTTTTTATAATACTTTTAACACTGGAATATTTTTGCAAAGTGCAGCAAATTATTTTTCGTAGAGCTTAAGAAGTTTTTTAGATTTATGATTTAGACAGTAAGATCAGAGATACCCACCATATGCGTAGACTTTAAAAAAAAGAAAAGGTCTGAACAGAGATGTTTCAGAGAAAAGAATGTAACACATCTTCCATCAGCTCCAGGAAAAAGGAAAAAAAAAAATTATACACCTCTTAAAGGCAACATTTGTCTATCAGCATTCTTGTTAAATTAAAGTTCATAATCTTAAACAGAAAAAAAAAAAAAAGAGGGTGTAGGGGGTGGAGAGAGGAGATTATTAATTTGAGAATCTTAAATTTAAAAGGTTACATCAGTAGATTTAGTGCTAAAAACTAATCTTTTCCTTTTTGTATAGATGACTATCCAATAAAAATAAGGCTATGTTTTAAACAAGAAAATGTTCATGTGCCATAATATTTATGTTACATTATATAACAGCTTTAGATGATGTTGTATGCTACGCTACATAAACACTTTTCTTAAACCATACCCTTTGTATATATACAGCTTTCAGTGATTGTTACTGCTGTTATTGCTTCAGCTGATATGATTTTAATTGCTTTTAGGTTGAACTTGAAAGAAAGTTGGAGTCAGCTACCAAGTCAAAGCTCCACTACAAACAACAGTGGGCCAGGGCTTTGAAAGAACTTGCAAGGTTAAAGCAGGTATGGAGGTTGCTTTCTTTCAGTATACAACACAATGAAGTTAATGCCGTGTTGGAAGCTATTTACAGTTGCTACTAATTACTGGCAGCTTTCCTCATGTTAGTGCTTTGTTCATCTTCATTAAATTCAATCTCTGAGCTACATTTCTATTTGGAAAAACTAGAATAGCAAAACCCATCTGAGTTTGACGTTACATTCAGCAAGGAGCATAATTCAGGTCAGCAAAGAAGGTTGGTTTAGCTGAAAGCAGGCATGGTTTAAAAAAGAAACATTCTATCTCATTCCCAGTGACTTCAGCCAGCACTTCCAGAGAAAGTGCTTTGACCATCCTGGCTGTCTTGGTCAGTAACAGTCCTAACAATTCCCACTTTTAACAGAAATGAAGAGTAAAGATTAAAACCAAAAATAGAAGCAATGATTTAAGAGTTGGTGAATGCTGTGATGTGATATAAAATTGGAGGAAATAAAAAGGAAACAGAGGGTGAAAACTTTTACTCCTGCTGTTGGAAATCCTAATCTCTGAAACTACAGTGGCATGGTTCTTTTTACTTGTTGTTTTGACAGTGCTTTTGTACACATATTTACTGTCATACATATGCAACTTAACAATACTCTGCTCAAACTTGCAGTAGTAACAGCTTTGTCCTCACTGAAGATGAGGACTGTAGATGCTCACTGTAGATGCTTTTGTCTTCTTGTGCTTGCCTTTTTCATGAATTACAGTAAACATAAGCTAAGCTGTGATACGTAGGAGTGACAAAGCATGTTCATTGGCTGTGACAAATTAATAAATCATTACTCACTGTTACTAACCAGGGACAGGGACACAGATCTGAGCCTAAAGAATTCAAGTTTAGTAACAGGCTTTTACTATGTCTCTTGATACTTTTTTCCTCAAAGAATTATAGTCCCTACTTCATTCTTTTTCTCAGAACTTTTGTCTTCTGGAGAGCAAGGAAAGAGTCTCGCTTCTTCTAATTAATAGCTGCATTTGTTTTACTTTGAAGACAGTAAACATGCTGTGTAATTGCTATTAAAAATTCGTATTTGTTTGTTGTCTTTAAATTAATCCTTTTTAGCCTACTGAGTCATGAATTTTCCTTTCCAGTTTCTGAAATAGCTGTTCTTGGCAAGATGATAGAAGAAGAATAAATCTCATCTTTCTGATTAAGATTTCTTGAATTGCCATGAAATGTTTAGGATATTTTTTTCTTAATGCCATGTTTAAAAATCCCTGCAGAATAAAGGAAAATGTTGTTGCTTGCCAGATTAAAACTGACTGTATATCATCGTCATTAAGATTTTATTGTAAGTTTTATCACAGTGGACACGATGATCTGAATTTAGTAATATGTGGATGGTTTCAGCTGACCCCATTCCTAAAAATCTGAACCAAAAAAACAAGCTTTCTTATACCATGAATTATTCTTCTTAAAACTTCTATACTAAAGAACAAACCCTTTAAAAGTGGTTTCTTATGTTTTTATATTCCCATGCTTCAACTTATACTTAGTCTATTGATAAAGGATTTAAGTGTATTTGGAGAGCCAAATAAAAGTTAAAGCGGGGCTGATCAAAAACCATTTACTGTGCTTTAAATGTAAATTTGGAAAGTGTTGCTTCAGGAATTCTAGATCTGCTTTAGTTCAGATGATTTGTGCAATTGCACATAGTTTGACCAATTTCTTGTTTAAATTGGATTAGTACCATGTTAATTTTGCATTGCCTCTGGTGAATAGCCACAGGGCTGTAATCTGTGCCAGTAATTTGTCACACCAAAGCTCTCTAGAGAACTATACAAAACATTTGTGTAGTGAGGATTAGACGCTGAAAGCCATATCTTAGATTGTTAATAAATGTTAATGACAAAACCCAGCTGGTAAGTCTTGGAAATGAGATCTAATGCTTTGTGCCTATTGCCAAAAAAATGTTTAAATAGAGATTTCCATTACTCAAAGGTGACCTAGTACAGTCAATTTGTGAATTAAAGAAGCATAATTCTACAGGCTAAGCATTTAGTAAAATGCTGTCCTGATTTGCAACCATAAAAGTCAATGTTTCTTTAATTAAAAAGTTTCCTTTTTCTTGGGAACTAGTTGTTTGCACAAATTTCTGATGTCTTTACTTTTTGGACAATAAGATATGTACTGCGTAGGCTTTTAAAAAAAAAAAGGTGTTGAACTGTCAACAGAATATGCTCTGAGCTTCTCCATGTGCAGTGTTTTAAATGTTAAAAAACACTGCACTATATTAAAAACATTGTACTGGTGGTAACAGCAACAACAAAAAACCTCAAGCACATGTACACGTGTGTATATACGTAACCTGTGCTTAACAGAATAGAAGGCAGTTGAATTTAAGCACAGTTTGTAATGCTGAGTGAAAATAGATTTCACCTGAATGTAACCTAGCTTCTTTATTCCTTCTTTGTTACTTCTGTATTAATAGTTATCACACCCCTTTTCAGCTTAGGAGGACACAAAACCAAGTTAGCTACAACTTTCATCACTTCTGCAGGTTTCAAAACCTGTCTTTCAATGTTTGTTGGAACCTACACAAACAAAATGTACCAAGTTTTGTGTGTGCGAGCCCTGTTTGTGAAATTAAACCACTTGTACAAAATTGCAGAGGTCCTAGATTCTAAACTCGCTACCTGTTAAAAAACAAAACAGAAAAAAAAACAACCACGGTTTTAAAACAAACACCTAAGCTAGCAGAAGTGTCATTTTCAGCAGCTGGTAGGCTCTGTCATAATTTCAAAGTACGTGCATGCATATTCGGTGTTCTGGGAGAAATGCTTTCTCAGTTAAGACTTTTGTTGTTTCTGTGACCTACAGATCTGTTCAAACCAATACTGATGCATTTACTTAAAGCAGTGTGGATCTTATTGGCTGGCTGACATTCACTCTATTTTGTCTAGTCTCCTGCTTATCCACTCAGTAATTAATTTGATTAATTTATGACTAATATAGCAAAGGATGGGATATAAATCTTTGCTTTTTTTTTTTTTTTTTTTTTTTAAAAAAAAAAAAAAAGGAGAAAACAGTTGGAGGTCCAATTCCTGGTTAAAAACTGTGTCTTGAAACCATCCAGGCCCTCCTACTGACTTGTCAGCTCTGGGTTATTTTCAGAAAACTTTATTTGAGTTCTTTAGCTTCAATCGTAAGTTTTCCCACAGACTTGCATGGTATGTGTGAGTGGGAGATTGAATAGTGGCCGCTATTTAGCCATTGTTTAGTCTAGTGTATGTATGTTTACATCTCCCTTTTGGATTTATAGGCAGCCATGGCAAAATAAAGATTGCGCTTCCTTGATTGAAGAGCCTCTTAACCAAAGCACCTGGTGGCTCAGAGGGGTTCTTTTACAGTTTGATTGTAATTGAAATTTTTGTTTTCTTAATGCTGGCTAATTTTTATTTAACGTTGAGTGTTTCTCCAAAACACAATTTAAGTTCCCGCTGTGCCAGCCCTAAAACAATATTCTTGTTCTCAAGGACCGTGCTAGACATGCAAACCAATGAATAAAAGCAGTAAAACAATGAAGGAAACAATCTGATAAATAGTATGTGGCTTTAGTGCACTGTTTGGCTTGACTTTGTTTTTGGGAATCAAGGCGAGGATGGCACAATATCAAAATGATAGTTAGGAAGAAAAAAAAAAAAGGAGTATTGGTAAATTTTCATTTTCACTCTTTGGAAAAAAAAAAAAAGGTAAAAAGTGAAAGGAGTAATAGCATCGTGAAGAGCTAAGAGGGTAATGAAGGAGGAAGTACCTATGCCAATTATGTATACTGCAAAAATACTTTTCAAATGGTAAAAATTAAAAGCACTTTGCAGATGGTCCTCCTGGTCATCTGTTGTTGCTTTGCTTTAGTACTGTGGCTGTTACTCACATTGTAATGCAAGATGTGTATTAACATATAAGTAATGTGTACTGATACTCACGTTGTAATGCAAGAATTAAGTTTGCAAGTGTTCAGAGTTTCTAGTCTTAACTTCTCTCTCTATAGCTGTCATTAGTCCGGCAGACGATGATTCTGTAATGATTCCTTATCTGAAATTTAAATACACAGTCTTCTAGAGATTTGAATTTATGCAGTGTTTCAGTGGTTCTCACTCAGTCTTAAAGCAGCCTGACTGAGTACAATAAGCGATTAGGAATAAATCTGAAATGTTCCCTGATATAGGATATACTGTAAGAGCATATTCTCTCTGGAAGTAGCATAAATGACCACATAAATATTTTGCCATAAGAGCTTTAAATATGTTTATGTGTAAGGTTATGTGCACTGCCATACACATTTTGATGTATTCAGTTACATTCTTGTTTTTAAATTAAATGAACACAGAACAGAACGAAGATGTTGCACATGAAGATGTTGGAGTTAGTTTTATTAGTACTGTATTAGTACTATTTCATAAATATAATGCCTTTTTAGAAGATTATGCAGTAAATTCTGCTAAATTCTAAATACTAATGTGAAATAGAATTCAGTTTCTTCTTTGGTTTAAAAAAATGCACAATGAATTATTAAACTGTGACAGCAAAGTAGATGCAGTACCTGAATATCTCTCACAAAGGAGGCAGCACCAGCACCACCACTGTGAATAAGGAATTCTTCCTTCTCTCAGGCTGTAGCAAATCTTTTTGGCTGTCTGTGAGCAAGTGCACTGTTATTCACCCTATAACTTCCAGTAGACATTTAAGAGTCAAAAACTTGCTTTGGGAAATATATTTCAAATTTATCAGGTATTACAAAGTGCATAACTTAAATTATCTGAAGGATCCATCAGAAATGAACTAGCATAATCCCTGTCACTTGCCTTCATGTCTTAGTTCCTGAGTTGTAACTTAAGCTAAGTGCTACAGAAATATTTCCTCAGAAAATACTGTTGATTTTTTCTATTGAATGTTTTCTGGTTTAAGATCGTATTATCCAGGATCACTGCACGACACTTTCTAACATGCTACAGAAATTGCTGTTTTGCAGTATGACAGGACTAAAATTAATCTCATTTCCCTCATTATTCCCAAGAAAGTGGTAAATATTTTGTCATGCTTACATCGCAGCTGTATTAGTCACATTAAAATTCTAATTGCACTTTCCTAGAAAGAAGCCCCATTCAGTGTTATGGAAACAAAATGTACTGGAAAAATTTTTCTCCTTAATGGAGAAAAAGATAACATGATACTCTATATGTTAACCCTTACTTCCCTACAAATCTAGAGATACTGTCCTGAGCAAAGAATGTACTCTTGAAACTTAGCATAGGACTTTGTTCTGAATATTCAGAGAATATACTTCTTCAAATGTTTACTTCTTTCATATTTTTTTTCTTTTTGCTATCAGTTTGCTATTGCAGCAGAAAGCTCTGAATCACTGAACTTCCTTGCCACAGAGAGTGAGGTATCAAATTGTAATCATAATTCTGTTTCCAGGCCAACACTGTTGTGTCTTTTCTCTGAAGATGTGACTTGAAGAATATTTTCAAAATCTTACCTTATTAGATGTGCATAACACCCTACAAGCCAAAGGACTGGGTTACAATGCTTCCATTCAGGATAGTCACATAGTAGATTTGTATGTATTATGTGCTTCATTTTTATCTACTGAAGTAATTAATAGGCAAGGGTGCCACTTTCTCCTGGCCAGTTGATGTCTTGCTGTGCTAATAATGAATGCTCCTCTGTTGGCATTAGTTTTCCAGTATTTGGTCTTCAGGTTATGTTTGCCTGGCATGTGTTTAAAAAAAAATAAAAAATTGTCTCCTACAATTACTGAGACTTAAACAAAACAAAAAAAAACGAAAAAGAAAATGGACAAACTCACATTCATATCTAGCTTCCCATGACAGGAGTTACAGTTTAAAATTGGGTACAATTAGAGCATGAATTTACTGAGGTTTTCTTTTCCCAAATAAGTTCACCCTTTTCTCACAATCTGTAACAATTCACTGGACTGAAACTAATCATATCTACACATCAGCATAGGTAGAAAAGGAGAAAATGACATTAGAAGGCCTCCTTTCTGTAGAAAATCTTCATTGACTTCATTTAAGAAAATGTCTCATCCTCTAAGTAGCATGGATTTCTTCCTCCACATAAGGCCTTTTGCTTGTGTATTGTGTTCTTACATATCTTTTGGGTGGCCTTCAAGATTCCCCATATTCTCAGATAAAGCCAATAGGAAAACTAAGCTACAAGACAAATGAATTTCAAAAGCAGAATTTGGGTACACAGGCTGTATGTGTACAGCAGTATGTATTTTCTGGCATGACAAGTTTCTTCAGACTTAATGTCTGACCAGGAAGAGTAGTAGCTGGTCAGCAGGCTGAACTACTGTACAGATGCTTTACCTACAGGGACAGGCAAATCTGTGGATTTGTACAGTGCAACATTTTTTCTGAGGTTAGATATAATTTAGAATTCTAAATTGAGTAGCAGTTTAATGTAGCTTAATGTAGTCTGTTTTGTGCTTTGCTTCAAGTATTCATCTCAATAACTTTTTTCTGAAATCTGGCAGTATTTTAATTTGCTTCATTTTGAAAAGAACTGCAGGTCTCGTGAAAGCAACACAAACAGTCATGGTTTCAAATAAATAAATATTGATCTGCCTCCATATTTCTGTGCTCAGGACAAGCAGGGAAATCAAATGCACCATCTTCATTATCTAATTTGGTTGTGTTAAATTTCTGTTGCATTGTCTTTATAACAACCCAGTTCAGTGTGTGTCATGAGCAGCATCTGGTATTACTGCCAGTAAGATCCCTGCCACACTGTGTACTGGAGACTTGGCTTTACTGTCTGAAAGCTACTGCCTGCGTAGAAATGGGTTCCAGTGGTAGATCCTGGATGTTTCTGAGGTTTGTATGTCTGTGTATGCTTGTCTTTTTTCCACTCAGTTTAATAAATAAGAGGGAGATGAAGTGGAAGGTGGTTGTTACTCTTTGGTTGCCAGCATCAATTTGATTGATGGATTACATGACCAGTTTGTCTTACAACTTTCGTGTTTGGATTTCTGTACAACTCTTGGATAGATATCTGTTGGCAATAATGATGCCTTACTGTTTTCTGTGCAGATTTATTGGTTTCTGTTATAAAACCTGGCTGACTTCGTTCTGAGACTGTACCTCTTCTATGCAGCAAAGTCTTGATGGAAAAGGGAGGACTTTGGTCTTATCTTTCCTGAGTGGCTTTTTTTATACTTCTATCAACTGTAGAAACTCCTTGGCAATATTCCTTCTTGTGGTCTTGATTACTACTATCCGTTCAGCAAATTGCTCTTTAGTCATTTTGACCTGTCTCACTGAAGTAGCAGCTTTTAATATGCCTGAGTGGTATTTTGGATTTAGTATAAAAAAAAAAAAAAAAAAAAAAAAGCTTTGGTTACGTTCGTCCTGTGATCTCATGTAATCTTGTATGAGTGTTTTCCGTATTTCACTGCTGCTCTCGTTAACAATTAGAGCTTTTGCTTTTACTGATTCCTTGCAAAATGTGGATTTTATTATTATTTAATGGTTATCAGCAAGGAGTTCTGAAGATGCCTATGACCGAGATAGCTGACAACAAGGATTAGATTCTTTCAGAAAGTATTAAGTTAGCTGCATAATGAATATGCTCGTGTCCGTGAAAGAGAATAGTTTTCTGCTGCAGTAATGAGTATAAAACTTTGTATTAACAGTTAAAGAACTGAGATCAGAATGATATCAAAATTAAACAGTAGGCTCACGCTTTATGGTTTGTCTATATTTCAGGTTGGATATTAGGAAGAATTTCTTTTCAGGAGGGGTGATCAGGCACTGGAGCAGGCTGCTCATGGAGGTGGTGGAGTTACTGCCCATGCAGGCATTTAAGGACAGGGTAGATGAGGAGCTCAGGGGACGTGCTTTAGTGGGCAGTACTGGCGGTGGATGACTATTGGAGTACATAATCTTAGAGTTCTTTTCCAACCTTAATGATTCTGTGACCCTCTCCTACTTTGTTCTGTGTCACTACAGAATCAACTAACACTTCACCTCAGGCTTTCTTTTTCATTGACTGTGTAGAGTTAGTAATCAAGGATGTATTATCAAAACTGGGAGGAGAACAAGCAGAGAAGGCAGCATAATTGTCATTAAGACATTGTTCAGTGTCCCTGAATGATAGGTGATTCCAACCCTAGTTCTTCATCTCTGTATACAATGCTAAAGCAAAAAGCAAACTTAGAACCAAGCAGACTTGCAGAATAGGTAGGTTAGTTGGATTAAATGCACCAAATAAATTATCTAACGCTTTGCATAGATCCATAAAACTGTAAAAGGAAACCTTGCCAGAGTTTTAAGTTTTTAAGGTTTATTTATTCAACATAAACTGCAACCTCGGCGAGTCATCCTTGAAGTTCTAATGGTAGATATTGCAGGGCCAGTAATGGGAATTTTCTGCAGCTACTTAGCATTTTGTATGTGTAATTCAGTGTATTTCTTATTATTTAATACATAATTTTGTATAATCTGTAATTCAAAATAGCAAAAAAAATAATAATAATATCTGAGAATCTTCAGCAGTTTCACAAATTTTCTATTTACAAGCTTAAGCTAGTATTTGTAGTCTTCCTACCTTCAAAAAGTGGGTTTGTCCCACTTTTGCTGCTTCATTAATGGAGAGGTATCTCTGACTGTACTTCAGGTGATCTGCTCTGGATAGGTTTACTGCAGTTGTAACAGCTTTACAATACTGTGGATAACAACAACGAAGACATCTTGTGTAACTTCTGGACTTCTACTAATACTGGGAACTTAACTGTTGTGATTTCATTCCTGAAGTTCTGCTTGTGTTGTTATAATAAGCACTTCCATGTATAACTGTGCAGATAACTGGGTTGCTTTTATCCTTTCACACATTAGCGTGAACAAGAAAATGCAATGGCTCGCCTCAAAAAGCAGCAACAAGAGCTGGAGCACATGAGGCTGTGCTACTTGGCAGCAGAAGAAAAAGAGCTGGGGAAAACAGACCGACAAGAGCTGGAGGATATCAGAAATGAACTTAACAGGTATTAGAACAGTTGTAAGACTTCTCTTTTTCCTCTCTTCTTGAACTCTGCCTCTGAATAAGAAAAGGTTTGGTTAAATCATTTATAATTGGCTGTCAGTCCAGTGATAGAATATGTTTTGGTGTCCCTTAGGTAAAGATTGCAAATCTGTAAAATGCTACAGCACTGTACTACAGAAAATCTATGTCAGTATACTTTGGTTTTAATGTTGTCGTAGTTGTAGAACATCAACGTTTTTTGTATGTGTCTACTTTGAACCGTCAGGTCTGAAGAAGAACTGTATTGTGGGGGAGGCGTGGGGAAAGGCAGACATTTGTCCTTATTTGGGATGCATTAAATTTTTAGATCTAACGTTGTCCTCATGGCTGTCACATTAATACTGTATATCAAAACCTTGTAATGTGAGTGGCATTTGCAAAATCAAAGTAGGAGCTTTGGTGGTAATTATTACTGTTACGCACTCATCTTAAAGAGAAGTACTCTAGCTATCATATTAATACCTCATTTATGTCTTTTTCCCTTAATTTCAATATACACAAGGTAAATTTTCATCTTTTATAAATTTGTGTATTTTACTAATTATTTCAGCAGATGCCTTGTTTTCGTATGAAAAGCAAAGCAGTTTTTAATACACTCATCCTCTCTTCCATTTTATCGACATCAGGCTAAAGCAACAAGAAGAGAGAAAGCAATTTCAAGATGCTAGAGATAATTCTGCATGTAAAGTGGAGAGTCTTCATACTAGAAAATCAAATGAGAACATAGATGATTATCTCTCACGTCTGATGGAGGAGAGGGATACCTTGTTGAGGACAGGAGTGTATAATCATGAAGACCACATTGTAAGTGAACTTGATCGTCAAATCAGAGAGGCTATTGCAAAAAGAAATGCCACTAAATAAAACCATACAAAAAAAAACAGCCTGAATTTGAATAGGCTTACTGATGTTTTTAAACCTTCCTCTTCAAAAATGTGTGGTGATGCATAGGTTTGCACATTGTTAGCTGTTTTTGAAGTCAGTGTCAATATTTGCAGTGCGTGATGTTAAGTGAAGTTGTAAGTTTCAGAGGGGTGGCTGTTTTTAGTGTTTTTGTACTTCTACACATGCAAATATGTTTATATTCTGAAGTGTTTTCTACAACTCCTTCCACTATTGTGGCAGGGTTTATTTTTAAAATATTTAATAATTGTTCTCAACTTTTTGGTCAGTATTTCAATTTTATTTTTTTTTAACGTTCCTCAACTATACTAGGAAGAAGTGTCATCAGCTTTCTTCCATGATCAAATTCTTAATTTTGTCCCAAAATGCAAAAGTGACAAATGTCACTATTCAATTGACAAGCTAATCAATTTTCACTTCTGCAACTGCAGTGAAAATAGCTATGTTCTACAGTTCATCTTTCTTTTTAGAGGCAGGCATTTAATTGGAAGGGAAGGAGCTCCCAAACCTTGTGAAACTGAAACTGATTGAAATGTTAAGTAACTAGTATGATCATACAAGATGAAAATGCCTTTGTCCTAGCAGCTTTGCACATAAGACTGTAAGGGTGAACCCAGCCTTTGTTCATAAATACGTATGCAAATGATGTTTGAGTCATTTAATTCAGAGATTTTTAAACACTTCAGATGCTGGGCACATGCATGATAAGAGCTTTACTAAGTAAAGACGTTTTTGTTAATCACAGCCTACTCAGTTTGCAGTTCTTTAACGTGTGTTTCAACCCGTGTTTTCTCATTGCTGTTTGTATGATTTATTTGATTGTTGAAGTGTGAAAAGGATAGCCTCAAATACTTCAAAGCCAAAAGAAAGATCCATGAGAAATGTTAATTTCTGCATAGTAGTTGAAAAAGTTTGTTTTTTCTAGCTTCCATTCTGTTTGAGTAGATTAAAATCATTCACATGGACTTAACTAATTACATAAACCTACAGCACTGTCTTTTTAATGGGGATTTTTGTCATGTTGCCATGATTCTCACTTTGAATCTTGGGTACTGAAGAAGCATTAAATATCTCTATTCAGGCAAAGCATAACAGATCCTATGCAAAGCATTTTTTTCTGTGAACTTGCATGGATGCAACTGTACATGTATTGCCTTTTCATGGTGTAAACCTATGAAACCATGCCTATTTTTCATGGTGTAAACCATAGAATAGTGCATCTGACTATGCCTAGTATGGGCCCATTTCCTGATAAGAAAGCCTGGTTGTTAGGCCGCTGAAAGCTTTAATGTAGCTACTTGTACTCTCACACCTATATTTTTTCAAGTGAAGGTATTTGGAAAGATTCTACTCCACTAGTAAAGCAAGTAACACCTTGATGAATCCTGCACAAATCCACGGCATGTAATTTTAATCTTTTATGTTAGTGCTTCTGTTATCATTGATGCATGATCATGCACTGTTGCATAGTCCTGCATTATTGGAAATGAAGCAGGGGATTCTTCTGTCTTACCAAGAAGACTTTGCAAGACGTTGTTCTTGAAATTGCTTCTTTTACAAGACGTGCAGTTTCTTTTTCCAACACTAGGGGGTCCATTAGACTTACAGATTGCAGAGTGTGTTTAATAGCATTTTCATGATGGGTGATTTTTTAACCGATTCTGTGATTTTTCAGGTGTTACATTACTTAATAAACTGATGTTTTTTAGTATTAAAGACTTCGTGTGTTTTTTTTTTCTATTTATTTGAACAAAACTTTTCTTATTACTGTAGGTCATATGACAGTCTTTGGTGCTTGGAACCATGAAACTGATCAGTTGACTTTCAAAGTTAATTTCATTTCTTCAATTTCTGATAGTCTCTTCCATGATTTGTACAGGGAACAGCAGTCGTGAGGTGGTAACATTTGAAAGAAGCCATACAGATTAATTTTCTTCTAGTAAATCAGAATGTTTAGTAAAATGTACAGTAGGTCAACATTTTTATTATTCTTTTAGGAGGAAAAAATGCCTCAACCTGCTATTTTCAGCTCTTTGGGACCACTTTGTCTCCTGAAAGTTCAGTACTTACAGGATGACAGGCATGTGTGTTACAATGTCTTCCTAATTCCTTAGCAATTTTTTTGGTCACGCAGCCATTCTGCTTCAAGTTCATTATTTGTATTAGGATAAAATAGTGAACAATACTTTGGGCTTTATATTTCAACTCAAATTATGAGGAAAAGGTTGAGGTCTTTCATTCTGAAATAATCTAGAAATAAATATGTATTCATATTTGTAGTAGTTAGGTATTGCAGACAGCAGTTTGGTACTGCTTTTTTATATTTTTACATTGGAGTCCATGGGCTCTTTGTTGCCATGAAGCCATTTTAAACATTATAGTCAATTCAGTGGAAAGATCAAATACCGTTTTTATTAAAAATAAAAACAAAAATTATCTTATTTTCTATCGTAATCCCTCTTTGTGGCAAGAATAAAAACCATTTAAGCTTATTTTAACTTATCCAGCAAAAAAATCCTGCTGGAAATTGTGTATAGCAAAGCAGCAAATCTGCATATAATACCTATTTGTGCACCTTCATAAGGAGCGTGAACTAAGATTCTGAGAACTGTTACAAGGAAATTGAGCTCTTCTTCACTTATTATTAGGCTTTATCAGAAAATTTCTCTAAATTCTTAATTGTTCAAGCAGTGAAATGCATTGTGAAAAAAATCTTAGAATTATAGAAATAAGAAGAAAGGTTTTCCTCTAAAACCAGTTTATTAAAACATGTAGCTACGAATAGATCTTTCCAGCATGTTGTGTACTTGGGGATGAAGCTGTAACTACTATTTCCATACTTTAGCAGTTACCCAACATTTTCAACCCTAGACTTTTCAAAACTGCTGTTGCAGAGAAGCAGCAATATTAATCTGGCACTGAGTTTTCAAGTATTCTTTGCATTGCTCTCCTGCACTGCAATACAAATGCTCTTCTCTTCCATCCACCAAGATAAAACTTAATGCATGGCTAAAGATGGAAGTCCTTTATCATATCTCGTAAGTGCTACTGAAGTGTTTATAAATATATTGTATATATTTACACAATTATTTATTTTGCTACTACTGTGCCTCAGTGATCATGACCTGTGTCAAGTCTTGGATAGGAAGCACCAGCTCTGCTATTGTTACAGGCAGAACTGCAGAAAGGCGGCTGCATACTTAGATCTCATTTAATTTGTTTCCCCAGGGGGTTGTATTAGTAGTGTTTTCATTAGAAGTGTTTTTACAGATGTCAGCTATCCAGATATGAAGTCTCTGTGGTGGAGAAGCAGTCAGGAGTTTGGCATTCAGAAGAAAAAGAAAAAAGTCAAGTTTGAGAGCCTAATCTATAGAAAAATAATTTACTGACTTTCTGATGTAGAAATGTGCAGCAACCCCATGGCAGCTCTAATGTGAGTCATTGAAGTTTTGCAAGCAGTTATTTTCTGTTCTTAGCTTCAAGAAATGCTACAGCCTGTTGTTCCTCATCAGCAAAGACTAAAATAGTCCTCATTAACAACATTTCTGGAAAAGTGGCATCCAGTACTTTTTTTTTTTTTTTCCTGCAACTGAAATACTTGTAGTAGTTTGACATCATTTTAAACACTTTATGTTTTGCTACAGAAAGTTTTCTTCTAACAATATACATAGCAAGTAGATGATTGTGCAAGTATGGTGTTACGGAATACTTGACTGAAAGAGGTTTGATGAGGCATAACTGCATTGACAAAATAAGGCATTAACATTTAAATGGGCTTACTTGTAGCAGGGAGAGTAGAGCACAGCTACTGTGCATTGCTCGTGGATTTAGCTGTTCTCTGAGAAAGGGATAGAACAACTGTTTTCAGAGATTACTTGTTAGTCATCAGATCTGCAGTACAGATGGGGAGAGGCTGTTTATCAGGGAATGCAGTGAAGGTAAAAGAAAGACTTGCATATGTGCTTGAAATTTGGGCTGCACAGAAGAGTGTGGGTGCCACATCCCAGAACTGGGATGGAGATTTGGACACCCTGATGGAGTGGGAGGTGTCCCTGCATATGACAGTGGAGTTGGAACTGGATGGTCTATGAGGTCTCTTCTGACCCAGACCTTTCTATGCTTAGAGCAATGAAATTAAATCATCAGGTTTTAAGTTGAGCAGGCAAATTAAGCTAGTAGGCATTTTATAGAATTTAGGTTGAAGCGGTAATGGTAAGTCTTCAGTGCTTTTTATTTGCTTAATAGCTTAGTTGTAAGTGAAGGAATTTTTTGTTTTGTTTCTGGAGATAGAGTAGGATTCAATTGTTCTCCCATCAAGAGACACTGGTTGTACAATACCCCAGGCCATTCGTGTTCTTCACCTAAGAAGGATGTTTGGGCAATGAGATGATAATACAGTAGATGTTGCAGATGAGGGCTGTAGGGCACTGTAAGCTATTATTTGCTCTGTTATCAGAGTTACACACGAAGGTTAGGAAGACCATTTGTTGCAGGCATTAAACTGACATGTAGCTTCTCATGCAAATAAGTCAGACAGCTTCGTGGTTCATTCTTAAAGCTAGCACTTTAAGCCACTAATACTCATACATCTGCATGAATATTAGTGCCTGTTTTGTGCAAAGTGCTGAGCCCTCCTGCTTCACTAGGAATCAGTCAAGCAACATCAAGCATCTTTTATTTAGACTGTATAGCAGTTTTGATGTTTGTACAGCAATTTAACACTTCTGATGTGTATGCATATGATGTTTTGTATGCTCAGGTTTATTTTGCATCCCGATTTTTCTGGTGATTTCACAGCAGAAATGGGGCTAATAACTCTAAATAAACAGACTAAGCAGGATGTCAAGATCAAGACAATAACACTGCCAGAAGGAATTGGTAGGTCCATCTACCTCCATGAGAGGGCACTGCTCTTCATGGAAAGCCTTGGACACCTTGACAGTGTGTCATAACCTAAATAGAAATAGTTAAGCTTAGCAAGAGGACATTTTAAAAGGTGTTATCTCTGCATCACAGCATAAGGGCAAAGCAATGCTTGTGTTGCATTATTTTGTGCAACGTGATGGCATCTTTCCTGAAGCAGTTGTGAGGAAGGGCTCCTGTGGGCAGACGGTGGGTTGTCTGTATAACAAGTCTCTCCTTTTCTCAGCAGCAAAATGAGAGTAAGGGGGGAAAGGTTTTCTGTGTAAGAAGTTCACAAACTGCTTCAGCCTCAGACTGTATGCTGAGGTGGATGCTGTGTTCTGAGTGCCCTGAACGTGGTAGTCACTAGTTTCTAACAGGACACTTCTTCGGCAAATAATTAGAAATTATTTAAATTACCTAACTTCTCTTAGTAAATGAATCAGTATCTTTTTCCATTTTTATGAATAGTTATAAATTCAACCGAAGATTTTCAGGAGAAAAAAAAAAAAAAAAAAAAAAAAAAAAAGTTTTAATCTTTAACTCCTTATTTCTATCTGAAGGAAATTAAGCAAGTTGAGTTGCATGCAGCCTTTCAGGAGAAGCTGTTCAAGGAACACCTATCAAGTTTTGCTGCCCTGGGCACAGCTGTATCAGATGTGAGGCAGTACTGTCTGCTCCTGCTTCCTTCTCTGTTGGGTAGAGGAGGAGGAGGATTCCTCATTGTGCTGATGTTTTGATGAACACCTAGCTAGTTAATGCTTGGTTGTTACAGGTGTTTGGAAAAGGTCAAGCAGTGTTTGCCGTACAAATAAGCAGTTGCAAGGGTTTTAGTGAAAGCTTTTATAAGAAATCTTTTCCTGATTTACTGAGATATCAATAAAAGCAAATTCCCATTATTCTAACAGGACAGATACAGCTGGAAATAAGTCTGGAAGGCACTCACTGTGATGGGGAAGAGCTGCAAGCTCTGCTGCTTGTGGAACCTCTGCCTCTACATGTGTAACAGCAAGCCCCAACTGCTCACTGTAGCCATACGGACACACGGTGAAGGGAAAAGCAGATTTCACCAGCAGGCAGTGATTCGTTTATGATGAAAGCCAAAATACGTATTCATTAGGTAATATGCATGCATCATTTTATATGCTTTTGTTGAAAGCAATCTTGAGCAGGGAATTCATTTTTTTAAAAACGCTACTTGTGCCCTTATTTTGCTTGCTGCTTACTCGAGATAAAAACAGCTTTTGTGTGAACACTGAGGGTTTGAGAACAACTACTGAATCAAATGAGCTGCAAAGCAATTTTTAGTGGGTTTGGTTATTTAGGCTTTCCAAAAAAAAAAAGAGAAAACGGACATTGGGTGCTGCTGTCTTTCAGTGAATGAACTCTATTGCGAATGAAGTAATTAGATGACCCCTGTGCAGTCTGAACACATATATATGTGTTTTGAAACACACAGGTGAAGTGGGAATGTGGTCACTGGAATCCACCTAGTTGCTCTGCAGGCAGAGGGGCTTGCTCTGTCCTGCAGCACTCTCCTGATTTCCCCCTGTTGCGCAGAGCAGAACTTGAGAGCTCAGCATCCAGATCACCTAAAGTCATGTTAGGATGGAACAAAGTTGTCCTTGGAGAGATGAGAGGCAGCATAACCTGCTCGTTTTCCTTATGAAACTAAAACCAACCACACAGAATCCCGTTGCCACTTGTGCCTTTCCTTGCCGAGATTTCCGAAATCTTGCGTTTAATCATCTCAGTCTCATAAATACATGTTTTTAAAATGCTGCAACCTCAACCCTCTCCTCCAGCTCCAATTT